AAGAAAAAAGAAAAGCAAATTTAAATAAATTCTAGAAAAGAAAAAAGACTAGAAGTGAATAACTGAAATTTCGCAGTTGCAGCAGCAGCAAGCGGAATCTTTGGAGTGTACATACACCTGAACTAGCTGGCGGGAAGCGAAAAAGGACTAGAAAAACCTTTTCTAGAAATTAAATAATAAATTTATTTATTTTATTTATTTATTTATTTATTATTTATTTATTTATTTATTTATTTATTTATTTATTTATTTGGACGCACCCATAAGACAGAATGAAGGGCCAAAGACCAGAGAAAAACAGGAGGCGAAGAAATGGAGAGGAGCAGCAGCAGCAGCAGCAGCAGCTGAGCAGCAGCAGCAGCAGCAGCAGCAGCAGCAAAAGGCGTCAAAATAAAGAGAAAAAAGAACAAAAGAAAGACAACTGAATTAAAAAGAAACAGCAAATGCAAAAGGACTAAATGAAGAGGAGCAGCAAAAGAAGAGGCAAAGGAGCAGCAAATTAATAAAATAAAACGAAAAAAGCTGAAATGAATTAAAAAAATAAAAATAAACAAAAAGAATAGAATGAATTAAAAAGAAATTAAAACAAACAAAAAGAAGTAAATGCGTTAAAAAGGAAACAAAAACAAACAAAATGAATAAAATGAATTAAAAACAAAACAAAGGGAATTAAAATAATTAAGATGAATTAAAAAGAAATAAAAGAAACAAAAAGAACGAAATGAATCAAAAGGAAATAAAAAGAACGAAATGAATTAAAAAGAAAATAAAAAGAAACAAAAAGAACAAAATGAATTAAAAGAAATAAAAAGAAACCAAAAATATAAATGAATTAAAAGAAATGAAAGGAAACAAAAAGAACAAAAAGAATAAAATGAATTAAAAGAAACAAAAAAATAAATGAATTAAAAAGAAATAAAAAGAAACAAAAAAGAATAAAATGAATAAAAAGAAATAAAAACAAAACTCACAAAGTGGCCAAAAGCAACAAAAAGCAGCAGCAGCTTCTTCAAAAAAAAAGCAAAAGTCCAGCAGCAGCGCCGACCCGAAAGTCCCATTTTTAAAACTTTTAAAAAACTCTCCGACAAAAAAACGCAAAACAAAACCTCCACCGCCAGCCACCCGCTGGTGTACGTACACCCCAGCGCCAGCAGCAGCAGCAGCAGCAGCAGAGGCACACACGCAGCAGCAGCAGCAGCAGAAGCAGCAGCAGAGCCAGAAACGCAGCAGCAGCAGCAGCAGCAGCAGTAGAGGCAGAAACGCAGCAGCAGCAGCAGAAACGCAGCAGCAGCAGCAGCAGCAGCAGAAACGCAGCGGCAGCAGCAGCAGCAGCAGAAACACAGCAGCAGCAGCAGCAGCAGCGCAGCAGATGTATGAAGGATCGGGGTTGAAGGCTGCGGTGAGGGAGGGACTGCTGGCAGCAGCAGAGGGCAAGGGGGAGTTGGAAGAAGGGAAAGGGAATTGGAATTAAATCGGAATTACAATTCAAAAGAACAAAAAGTGGGAAGTCCATTGGCAAGTCCCAGAGCCTGCGCAGCAGCAGCAGCCACGAGGTGTACGTACACCGCAGCCACGCGGAGGCAAATCCGGAAAAGGGAAAACGGGGGAAATGCGAAGTTAATTCAAATAAACCACTCACGCCCGCCTCCCCGCAGAAAAAAGAAGAAAACTTGTCCATTTAAAGCAAACAAAATGAAGTGGAAAGTCCAAAACGTTGAAAACCTGAACTTGAATCGACGGCTGGCGTCAGAGGTGTCTGTACACCGCAGATTCTCGCGGCTCCATCTTCGTTATTCCTCCCGAAAAAGACAAAGACAAGTTTTTCGAAGTTTTAAAAATAGAATTTATAAATATAAATGCATTTAAATGGTCCTTTTCCTCTTTTTTCCGCAGAAAGAAACTCCCGAGAGCGCGAGCAGCTCCTGTGGACCGGGCCGCCGTCAAGTCTGCATTTGGCGGGAAAGCCGCGGCAAAAGCCAGAAAATGAAAATAAAAGAACTTCTATTTCTTCTATTTTGGTTTTTAATTCAAAATAATTAAATTAAAACACAAAATTCAAACAAAAACCCCCGCCGATGCTCCTGCGCCTCAACACCCGTCTTGCACGCCGGCGCGCCGCTCTTCAGGTGTACAGACAGCTGCTGCTGCGCACAGCATTTATTCTTTTCGTATTTTCACCACTTTTAATTATTCTTTACTTCCAAATAAACTCCATCTATTATTCCAAGACTTCTGCCGCGCTAGGGGGCCCCTCGAGGCCCTGGGGGCCCCCACGGGCCCCTCCAGTGCCCCCCAGGGGCCCTCAGGGGCCATGCAGGGGCCCCTAAGGGGCCCCCTTGGGGCCCCTTTGTGTAGTTTTTAAATTGTCCAGGTGATCTATTTCTTTTTCGGACTCTTTAGTGCTTTTAGTCTTTTTTAATTTCTTTTAATTTATACTTTTTAGTCTTTTTGAGTTCTTTTTGATTCTTTTGGTCCTTTAGAATTATTTTTGTCTTCTACTTCAAACCAGGTGTCTGTACACCTGAAAACCGGCGTTTGCGAAGCAGCAAATGTCGACGAAAAGTTCATTTTAAATAAAAACATTTTAGAGTTCAACTTATATTTCGTTGAGTCTTTTATTATATTTAATTTAAAATAAATATTTTTCTTTTTTCAAAACTTCAAATTAATTTAATTAATTCCAAAAAACCTTTTTCTCCTTTTTGAAACTCTTCGGACAACAGCAGCAAACGCCTCGCAGCAGCAGCAAACTGCTGCACGAAGCAGTTTGCTTTGCATGCATGCGCGCATGCATGCATGCATGCATGCATGCATGCATGCATGTACGCATGCATGCATGCATGCATGCATGCAAAGATCTTTTTTTGCTGCCTACACCCCGCCGCAGCTGTAGCAGCAGCAGCGGCTGCTGCTGCTGCTGCAGCGGAAGCAGTTGATGCTGTGGTTACGGCTCCTGCTCCGGCAGCGGAGGTGCGGGCGGCGCCCGCTGCTGCAGCTCCTGCTGCTGCTGCTGTTGCTGCTGCTGCTGCTGCTGCTACTACTACTGTAGTTGCTGCTGCTACTGCTGCAGCTGCTGCAGCAGCAGCAGCTGCTGCTGCTTCACCCGCTGCTGTGGCATCAGCAGGAGCTTTGCGAAGCGCAAGAGGCCAACAGTGGCTATATAAAGATTGCACATGTTGGCTACGCAGCAGCAGCAGCAGCAGCAGCAGCAGCAGCAGCAAATGCCGCTGCAGCAACAGAAGAAGGAATAGCATCAGCAGCAGCAATACCCGCAGCGCCATCCTCCGCAGCAACACCAGCCTAAAAGGCTTTTTTATTCTTTTTAATTTTAAAATGCTTTTTTATTTTTTTATTTTCAAAAGACTTATTTTTAATTCTTTTTAGTTTTTAGTTTGCCATTACTTCTCTTAATCCCGTTTTTTACTTCCTTATCTTAAAGTCTGCAGAGGGTTTAGAAGCCTTAGGGTTTAGGGCTTAGGGTTTAGGGTTTAGGGTTCAGGGTTTAGGATTTAACGGGCCTCAGCCCGCAGCAGCGGCAGCAGCAGCAGAAGCAGCAATAGCAGCAGCAGCAGCAGCAGCAGGGGACCCTTTTGCTGCTGCCTGGAGGTCTTAAAAGCAAAGTAACTACGTGTGTACTATGCGCTGCACACAAACCCTAATTAAGGGTTTTTACGTGAAACCCTTAATTAGGGTTTCACGTAAATACGTACAGTATAAAGTACAGTTTTTAAACTCCAAAGTTAGTTTAGTTGAATTCGTTCCAAGGATCCAGGGCCAAGGCGTCTGATATTAGGGTTTAGGGCGTAGGGTTTAGGGTTTAGCGTTAGGGTTTTAGGGTTTAGGGTTTAGGGTTTAGGGTTTAGCGTTTAGGGTTTAGGGTTTAGGGTCTAGGGTTTAGAGTTTAGTGTTTAGGGTTTAGGGTTTAGGCTTTTAGGTTGAGGAAGCTGGGTTGGGGGTTTCTTGTATCTTCTTCCCAGGTTTTAGGGCATAGCTTTTAGTGTTTAGCGTTTACTATTTAGGGTTTAGGGGTTAGGGTCTAGGGTTTGGGGTTTAGAGTTTAGGGTTTAGGGTTTAGGGTTTAGGGTTTAGGGTTTAGGGTTTAGGGTTTAGGGTTTGTTCGTGTGCGGGAGGAGCCGCGTTGCTGTTGCATGCAAGTGCCGTGGCTGCAGACGGAGCAAAGGGTTTCTTTTTGGAGGAGAAAAAGGGGAAAACAATTTAAATTTAATTTAAATAAATAAAATAATTAAAATAAATAAAATAAATAAAATAAATAAAATAAATAAAATTAAATTTCAAAATGTCTTTGCCAGCACAGCCCCCTGGAGCTTCCTGGCGGTTTTGGCTGGAGTTCAGATTTGCAGGTTTTGGAATATTTTTTCCGCTTTTTGGCTTTAAAACGATTTATTTGTTTATTTTTATTTATTTATTTATTTAATTTTACTTTTTTATTTATTTTATTTCGTTTTTTTGCCTCATTTTCCGGCTTTTCGAGCCTCTTCTTCGCGCGGCTTCCGTCGGCTGCGGGGAAACGGAATTCAGAAAAAAACATTTTTCTTTCTTTTTGCCTCTAAAAATCTTTTATTTATTTCCTTTTCATTTAAAACCTTTTATTATTTAATTTTCCACATTTTAAAATCTTCAGTTCCCATTTTTCGCCCGTTTTCATCACCAGCAAACGCCCATCTTTGCTGCTTTTGAATTTTCCTTCTTTTTTGATTTCCGGGTCATTTTTTGCGGGAAGTCCTTTTAAAAGCATTTTTCTTTTCCCCTTTTGTCTTAGAACATCTTCTCCTCCATTATCCCCGGCTTTACGGCCCCTTTTCGTCGAAGATCCGGCGCTTTCTGCTGCTGCTGCTGCTGCAGCAGCAGCAGCAGCAGCGCAGCCTCCTCCTCCGCCCTCGCCGCCACCCCAGCAGCAGCAGCAGCAGCACCAGCAGCAGCACCAGCAGCAGCAGCAGCAGCAGCAGCAGCAGCAGCAGCAGCAGCAGCAGCAGCAGAGGATGGGCCGGATATCCCGCGACCGGCGGGACATATACTACAGGCGGGCCAAAGAAGAAGGCTTTAGGGCTCGTTCTGCTTACAAGCTGCTGCAGCTGGATGACGAGCTGCACTTCTTGTCTCCTCCAAACTGCTGCTTCTCCAGCAGCTCCGAGTCCTCTTCTTCTGAAGACGAAGCAGCTGCTGCGCAGCAGCAGCAGCAGCAGCAGCAGCAGCAGCAGCAGCAGCAGGGGCGTTTCTGGGGGCCTTCTGCTTCTGTGTGGGACTACCCGCACAGGGCTGTGGACTTGTGCGCAGCGCCTGGCAGCTGGAGCCAAGTGCTGCGCCGCAGGCTTTGGAGGAACTACCAACTCAAAGTGCGGGAGTTCAACAAACTGCAGCAGCAGCAGCAGCAGCAGCAGCAGCAGCAGCAGCAGCAGCAGCAGCTGGTTCGCCCGGAGCCTCCGCTGATAGTGGCTGTGGACCTGCAGGAAATGAGTCCGCTGGAAGGAGTGGTTTGCATAAAGGGAGACATAACGCATGCAGCAACTCGTGCTGCAGTGCTTAGCTGCTTCCAGCAGCAAAGCACTGCAGCAGCAGCAGCAGCAGCTGCTGCTGCTGCATGCGAGCAGCAAGCAGCAGACTTGGTGGTCTGCGACGGGGCCCCCGACGTGACGGGAATGCGCGAACTGGACGAATGCATGCAGCAGCAGCTGCTGCTGGCAGCAGCAGCAACAGCAGCAGCGCTGCTGCGCCCCGGGGGGGCCCTCGTGGCCAAAGTCTTCAGGGCCGAACTGGGGCCCCTTCTTTGCATGCAGCTGGGGGCCCTCTTTGCTGCAGTTTGCTGCAGCAAACCTGCTGCTTCCCGCAGCAGCAGCAGCGAGGCTTTCCTCGTCTGCCGCGGCTTCCGCCCCACGCCCCCGCTGCCGCGCCCCCTCCCCGCCCCGCAGCAGCAGCAGCAGCAGCAGCAGCAGCAGCAGCAGCAGCAGCAGCGGGGGGTGGAGCCGCGAGAGCGCGGCGCCGACGAAGCAGCGCCCCAGCACCCGCAGCAGCAGCAGCAACTGCACCAGCAGCAGCACCAGCAGCAGCAGCAGCAGCAGCAGCAGCAGCAGCAGCAGCAGCAGCAGGTGGCGGAGCTGTGGGCGGAAGCAGTTGTGGGGCAGCTGGTGCCCTTCGTGAGCTGCGGAGACACCCGAGAAATGGACGCCGACCGAAACTACTTGCTGCCGAGGTGTACGTACACCCCGCGGCCGCCGCTGCAGCCGCCGACGCACCCGGCCTACGAAGTGGCGCTGCGGCGGAAAAGGGGGATTTAATTGCAGAATTAAATTAATTTAATTAATTTAATTAATTTAATTAATTTAATTATTTATTTATTCATTTATTTCATTTAATTTAAGCCTTCTGCTTCCTCCCAGCTCCCCTCGAGGCCTCCTCGCGTTTGCTGCAGCACAGCACGCGGCGGGCTGCTGCTGCAGTTGCTGCTGCTGCTGCTGCTGCTGCTGCAGCTGCTGCTGAAGTTCAGCTGAAAAGGACACTTTTGCTTCTTTCTGAGGTTTTGTTTTTCTTTTGTTTTTATTTCTTCAAAACATTTCTTCAATTTTGCTTTTTTTAGTGCAGCAGCAAACTCTTGAGATAAGCCACTCCAAACCCTAAACCCTAAACCCTCGGGATGGTCCCCAGGGGGGCCCCTTTAGGGGCCCCCCTGGGGACCCCCAGGGGCCCCCAAAGGGGCCCCCCAGGGGCTCTTCAGGGGCCTCCAAAGGGGGGCCCCTCGGGGGCCCCTGTGGGGTTCATTAGGGGCCCCTTTGAGGCCCCTCTGAGGCTTTTAAGAGGCTGCAGATTAGTTGAAGCTGATGAGCAGAAGACATCCCTAGGGTTTAGGGTTTAGGGTTTAGGGTTTAGGGTTTAGAAGTGTTTTCGTGGCTGCTGCTCAGCAGCTAGCCAGAGCTAGCGCTAGCTGCCTTAGACTGCTTTTGGGGTTTTAGCGGTTCCTTTAGGCGGAGACGCAGCAGCAGCAGCAGCAGCAGCAGCAGCAGCAGCAGCAACAGCAGCAGCAGCAGCAAAGGCCTGCAGCAGCCGACAGCAGCAAAGACGCCAAGAAGACACAAAAGGACAGGCAAAAAGACCCACACACTATTGACACTCTGGAGCCACAAAGGGGCCCCTGCTGCTGTTAGTGTGGACTTTGGCTTTTTTGCTGCAGTGTTTGTGGGGTTGCTGCTGCATTGTCTTCTTTGTGCTGCAGCTTCTGAGGCTTGCTGCTGCAGCTGCAGCTAGCTGTGGCTTGCTGCAGCTAGCTGCGGCGAGCCGTGGCCAGTCACTACGGCTAGCTGTGGCTAGCCGTGGCTAGCTATGGCTAGCTGTGGCTAGCTGTGGCTAGCCCTAGCTAGCTGCGGCTACACCGTGGCTAGCTGTGGCTAGCTGTGGTTAGCCGCATCACTTGGGGGCTGCAGTCCTGTGTGCTGCGGCCAGCAGCAGCAGCAGCAGCAGCAGCAGCAGCAGCAGGGTTGCCTTTGGCTGGGGGCTTGGGGCTCTGTGGCGCAGCGCGAAGGGAAGAAATGAATTAAATGACTTAAAATTTAAATTCTTTTGCTGCTCAGCAGCAAATAAAAGGAAAGAGGGTCTTTGCTGCTTGCGGGAAAGCCTGGTTCTCGAGGCCTGGGGCCCTGCGCCGTGAGACAGCAGCAGCAGCAGCAGCAGCAGCAGCAGCAGCATCAGCAGCAGCAGCAGCAGCAGCAGCAGCGGCGGCGGCAGCAGCGGCTGGAGCGGAGGGCCGCCGCGGGGAAAGGGGGCGGGAGTTAATTTACAAATTCGGAAAAGTGGAAATAAAGTGATGAAGTCATTGTCGGGCAATGAATTGCTGCAGCAGTGTGAGGTGTACGTACACCTCAGGGCTCAGAGCGGGTCCGTGCTCGGGCTGCGCCCGCGAAAGCGCCCCCAGGCGCCGTTTTCGGAGCTTTAAAAGGCCAGTTGCAGAAATAAATGAATTAAAAAAGTAATGAAAGAAGAAGTTGCGCGAAATTCCCGCGGGAAAGCTGCGGTGTACGTACACCTGGTCTCGAGCCGCTGCCGACCCGCAGTGTCTTGCTGCTGCCGGCCTGCTGCTGGCTGCCGGCGCGGGGGCCCCTGGGGGCCCCCCTGGACTCAAAAGAATGCCTTTTTAAATGGGATTCATATGTTTTGGGAATTATTTGAACTTTAATGTGCAAGATCCCTCAGCAGGAGGGCCAGGAGCAGCTGGCGGGCGCGCTGCTGCTGCTGCTGCTGCTGCTGCTGGTGCACGAGACGCAGCTCCCGCGGCTCCCACGCCCCTGTCTTTCTGCTGCCTCTTCCCCTAATTGCTGCTTTTTGAATTAGTCCCTGAAAAGCTTGCTGCTGTCTTTGGGGGGCCTCACTGACACGGCTGCTGTTGCTGCTGCGCGCGCTGCTGCTCGCGTGCTCTGGGCTGCCGAGCAGCAGCGCCAGCAGCAGCAGCAGCAGCAGCTGCTGCTGCAGCAGCAGCAGCACGCCTTTTGAATGAATTTGAAACCAAACGCAATTGCTGCCACATACAAAACAAGGCCCCAACTTCATCTGCCCTTCCCGGCTAGCTGCTGCTCCTGCGGTGCCGCCCCAGTGCTCTCACCAGCAGCAGCAGCAGCAGCAGCAGCAGCAGCAGCAAGAGTGACCAATAACGAAGTAGCTAGCCAAGGTCTGCTCTCCAAAGAGGCAGCAGCACCGAGCTTCATCCTGCGAGTTCATTGCAGCTTTATCAGCAGCAGCAGCAGCAGCAGCAGCAGCAGCAGCAGCGGCAGCAGCAGCAGCAGCAGGAAAAGGCAAAACGACGTCTCTATGCTGGCAGCACCAGCAGCAGCAGCAGCAACAGTTTTGGCGACAGCAGCCGCAGCGCCAGGCGTAACAACGGTTACCGTAGTGAGGCGGAGCCAGTGCTGCTCTGCGGCAAGCAGCAGCAGCAGCAGCAGCAGCAGCCGCAGCAGCAGCAGCAGCAGCAGCAGCAGCAGCAATGCATCTCCTCACAGTGCTTGCGCCGCTTGCCAAGGCGGAGGGCCCGCCTAGCGGTTTGCCGGGGTCGTCCGCAGCAGCAGCGACGCCTCGTTCCGCGGCGAAAGCAGCAGCAGCAGCAGCAGCAGCAGCAGCAGCAGCAGCAGCAGCAGCAAAAGCCTCCCCCCCGCTGCACGCGCTGCTGCCCCCCTCCCCTGCAGCAACAGCCTACGCACACTCCGACACTTCCACGCAGCCCGAGAGGTCTTCTTTGCTGTCGCCGAGTCCTTTGCTGCTGCCGCTGACTCCGGGGGGCCCCTGCAGCAGCCTGTGGTCGGGGGCCCCCTCCCCCAAGCAGCAGCAGCAGCAGCAGCAGCAGCAGCAGCAGCTGCAGCAGCAGCTGCTGCTGCACAAGCAGCAGCCGTGGGACTGGAACGCGTACGCCAGAGGCCTCCCTTCGCTCCTCGCAGGGCCCGAGGCCCTGCAGGTGACGGAACAGCAGCAGCAGCAGCAGCAGCAGCAGCAGCAGCAGCAGCAGCTGGCTCTCGGCAATGACGCAGACACTCCTGCTGCTGCTGCAGCAGCAGCAGCAGGTGGCGCTTCTGCTGCTGCTGGAAGAGTGCCGCCGAGTCCTGCTGCTCCTTGCCTCCTTCACACCACCCAGGTGCTTCCTGCTGCTGCTGCTGCTGCTGCGGAGAAGGCCTTTTGGCCCCTCAGCAGCAGCAGCAGCATAACGACGCATGCAAGCTGCAGCAGCTTAGCCACACTTGCAAGCAGCAGCAGCAACAGAAGCTACCCCTGCCTGGCTTCTAGCAGCAGCATTGTATCCCTTCCTGCTGTGGAGCCGCTCTTGCAGCAGCAGCAGCAGCAGCGCTTGCTGCAGCAGCAGCACGACTCTCTGCAGCAGCTCCAAGAGCCGCAGCAGCAGCAGCAGCAGCAGCAGCAGCAGCACATTCATGAACTTGTGATGAAGCAACGCAGTGAGTTTCTTCGAGGGTTGGATGGGGCCAAAGGGTCACCACGGCAGCGGCTGCAGGCTCAGCAGGAGCAGCAGCAGGAGCAGCAGCAACGCCAGATCCAGCTGCAGCAGCAGCAGCAGCAGCAGCAGCAGCAGAAGCAGCAGCAGCAGCAGCAGCGAAAGGAGCAAAGCTTCCAGACACAAGAGGTTTGCAGCTGCAGCCCCGTCTCAGCAGCGCAGCAAACTCGCCGGCCTCCGTGGCTGCGGCGGCACCCGAGGCCTGCGGCCCCGGGAGAGCAGCAGCAGCAGCAGCAGCAGCAGCAGCAGCAGCAGCAGCAGCAACAGCACCAGCAGCACGGTCCGCAGCCTCAGCAGCAGGACTCGGACCAGCAGCAGCAGGAGCAGCAGCAGCAGCAGCGAGAAGCTGCACAGGTGTCGGAGTCGCAGCAGCAGAAGCAGCAGCAGCAGCAGCAGCAGCAAGCTGCTTTTCTTTGGGGACGGGTGCTGCAGCAGCGGCGCTGCCAGTCTTGGATAGATCATCGCATGCAGCCTGCGGGGCTTCTTCCCCCCAGCAGCAGCATTTTGCCCCAGCAGCAGCAGCAGCAGCAGCAGCAGCAGCGGGTGCGAGCAGCATCGGAGTCTCCTGTTCTGCTGCAGCAGCAGCAACCAATGCAACAGCAGCAGCAGCAGCAGCACCGTTCAGCCCCCATCGCGGTGCACCTTGACGGGGCTGGGTCCTGCTGCAGTAGCTCGTACAACAGCAGCTGCATGCAGCAGCAGCAGCAGCAGCAGCAGCAGCAGCAGCAGCAACGCCAGGGAATATTACCTCAAGAGGATCCCTGTGGCATGCACGAGGCCCTCATAACTGACCTGGGCCACGGCTGTTTGCTGCAGCAGCAGCAGCAGCAGCAGCAGCAGCAGCGGCCGCTGCTGCCTTGTGAAAGCTGTTTTTGCACTATGGCTGCCCAGCAAGAGCAGCAGCAGCAGACGCAGCAGCAGCAGCAATGCTCTTGTAGTGGCTGCTGCCCCAAAGAGAAACCGGAGCAGCAGCAGCAGCAGCAGCAGCAGCAGCCTGTGGCGCTCATGAGCTGGCCCTCGCAGGTGTGCTCCTTGGCCGCTGAAGGAGCAGCAGCAGCAGCAGCTGCTGCTGCTGCTGCCACAGTGGGCTCCGCCTTTGCTGCGCCTGAGTCAGGCTGCTGCTCCTGCTGCCCGGGCTTGTCTGTTGCAGCAGCAGGAGCAGCAGCAGGAGCAGCAGCAGGAGCAGCAGCAGGGCCAGAGCAGCTCATGGTGCTGCAGTATAAAGACATGCTGAGGCAGCAAGGCCGCATCATAAGGGAGCAGCAAGAACGCATACTGCAGCAGCAGCAGCAGGACTGGCTGTTGCAGCAGCGCGTGGCTTTGCTGGAGCAGCAGCAGCAGCAGCAGCAGCAGCAAAGTCAGGAAGCTTCTTGCGGACGCAGCTTCTCAGGGAGAGTGAGCGAAGCCCATCTTCGCGGCTGCCACAGCTGCAGCAACGTGGCCAGCAGCAGCAGCAGCAGCAGCAGCAGCAGCAGAATCAGAGGTTTCTGCTGCAGCAGCGACTGCTGCTCCGGTGCTTCCGAACCGCTGCAGCAAGCGGCTGCCTACGGCGGCAGCTGCAGCAGCGAGGACGTGAGCCACGCCAGACCAGCAGCAGCGGCAGCAGCTGCTGCTGCAGCAGCAACTTGTCCGATCCCCTTCAGCAGCGATACGCCTGCTGCAGCAGCAGCGACTGCAGCAGAAGCAGCACCGGCGAATGCCCGAGAAGCTGCAAGAGCAGCAGCAGCAGCAGCAGCAAAGGAGCGCGTGCGGGGCCAGCGCAGCAGCCGGCAGCGCAGCAGCAACGACAGCAGCAGCAGCAGCAGCAGCGAAGAAAACAGCCTTTGCTGCTGCCAGCAGCAGCCCTGCTGCTGCCAAGAAGAGCTGTGGCTCTCGCAAGCGCTTGGCCGCGGCATAGCGGGGCGGCGGCGGTGGCAGCGGCGGCTGCGGGGCTGCAGCAGCAGAAGCAGCAGCAGCAGCAGCAGCAGCAGCCGCAGCAGCAGCAGCTGGGCGAAGCGGGAAGCGTCGCCGGGCGCTGCGGGCTGCGGGCGGGGCCGCGACAGCAGCAGCAGCAGCAGCAGCGGCAGCAGCAGCAAGAAGCCCTGCAGCAGCAAACTCCAGCTCAAACAAATTTCCAAAAAAGATATTTATTTATCTCCTTCTGTTCAAAGATGCTTAAAGACAAGACTCAAAGTTCGGCAGCAAGCTCTCGTGGGCTGTCTGCAGATGCGGGCCTCATTTTTGGAGGGGGCGGACAGGGCGCTGCAGCGCGAGCTGCAGCAGCAGCAGCAGCAGCACGCACCCCACAGCAGCAGCAGCAGCAGCAGCAGCAGCAGCAGCAGCAGCAGCAGCAGCAGCGCTGCCAACGCCCTGGACCTCCAGGCGTGGCTGCTGAGGGCGCAGCAGTGCTGCGAAGCTGAGGAAGCAGCACTTCGAGGAATGCTGGCGAAGCAGCAGGAGCGGCGGCTCCGCTGACTTCCTGCTGCAGCCCCAGCAGCAGCAGCAGCAGCAGCAGCAGCAGCAGCAGCGGGAGAAGCAGCAGCAGCGACTGCCGCCGCCGAAGCACTAAATTCTGGTTGTCAAGCTCTCCTCCGTTTTCCAAGCTGCCGCTGCGACCACAGCGACGCAGCTGCAGCAGCAGCAGCAGCAGGACCCGCTCTTGCTGCTGCTGCTGCTGCTGCAGCGGCTCACAGAAACAGCCGCAGCAAATCAAATCTGTGTCCTTTTCTCTGCGTGCCGCCAAGGCTTTAATGCATTTAAAGCAACTAAAGTTGCCCGCAGTTTGCAGGCGGGGCCAATAGGCAAATAAAGCAGCAACAGCGCAGCAGCAGCAGCGCAGCAGCAGCAGCGCAGCAGCAGCAGCAGCACTGCAGCGCAGCACAAGTTGGTCGTAGCTAGCTACTCCCTCTAGCTACTCCCACACATTAGAAGTTCAGCTAGCTGAAACGCTTCGGCCCAAACAGCTCGCCACCATAGAAAGGCTGCGCGAGCTGCTAGCCAGTTAGCTAACTGGCAGCTAGCTAGCTAGCTAGCTAGCTAGCTAGCTAGCTAGCTTGATAGCTAGCTGGCTACCTAACTGGCTAGCCAGCCACCTAGCTGGCTAGCAGACTGGCTAGCCAGCCACCTAGCTGGCTAGCAGACTAGCTGATTGGCGAGCTAGCTGCTTGACTAGCCAGCCAACCAGCTAGCTAGCCAGCTAGCCATCAAGCCCGCTAGCCAGCCAGCTCGCTAGCCAGCTAGGTCGCCAGCTAGCTATCTAGCTAGCTAGCTCGCCAGCTAGCTATTTAGCCAGCTAGCTCGCCAGCTAGCTATCTACCCAGCTAGCTCGCCCGCTGGCCAGCCAGCTCGCCAGGCAGCCAACCAGCCGGCTAGCTAACTAGCCAGCTAGCTAGCTAACCAACTAGCCAGCCAGCTAGCTAGCTAGCTAGCTAGCGACTCAGAGGTAGAGGGAAGAAGAGAAGACAGTGCCGCGGCGGAGCTGGCGAATGGCAG